GCCCCCCCCCCCATCTCGGCACCTAAAACAACGTCCTCCTGAAAACTCGACCACTAACAAATCGAATCAAAAACATCGCCACACCATCTCAGAGCTAAAAAATAGCCTCCTAAATCTCATCTTGAAAAACTGGCTCCCAAAAACTCGGCCCCAAAATCCTAGAATCAAAAGCTCAGCTCCTAAAACTGATCTTGGAAAACTCTTCCTTTGGAACTGTTCCGCCGGAAACTCATTTTCATAAACTCATCCCCAAAATCTTGGCTCGAAACAGTCGTCTCCAAGAGTTCGACCTCGAACCCCTCTTCGAAGAAAAAAGTCGACCCCAAATATCGATGTCAACTGGTTCATAAGTTCAGTGTAACGTCAAAAATTGTATGAGTTGCATTCGAAACAAATAAACATGACTTTGAAATTTACACACAGTCAAGGTGATGGTCTGCTGCTTATTCACCAAGGTCTATACATCGCGAAAAATAAGGCAAAATCATATGGAGGTGCCACAACAAATTTTCCCCCGCAAGGGTGCATACACAGAGAGAAATTTTTTATAAAAATTATCCTACCGTTCTATAAAAGTGTATCATGAGTCATCGTTTCTTCATGTCTATCTAGGAATTTAGTAAAAATTAATATACGATGATCAAATTTTATTCTACGTTAGAGAAATTTTATCCTGATAAAAACAAAAATTACCGTGCCGGTAGACTAAATATTACTATACCGGTAGAGTAAAATTTGCCAACCATTCTAGAATTTTCGTTGTTATCTAGATAAAAATTATTGGACTGGAAGGGTAAAATTTAGTATGCGTCAGGATAAAATTTCTCTAACGTAAAATAAAATTTGATCATCATATATTAATTTTTACAAAATTTCGGGATAGAAATGAGGAAACGATGACTCATGATACACTTTTATAAAACAGAAGGATAATTTTTATCAAAAATTTCTTTCCGTGTACTGATTGTAAGCTTCCCTCAGGAAAAATTCTCAAAGACACAGATCATAACGACAAACATATCGGTCAAGGGATGAATACGCGAAATGTTCAAAATAAAACCTAAAAAGTGGAAGAAAGTTATCATAGTGATTTTTCACGTAGTTGGAAATTTGTCAATGAATTATTCCCACCCAATTCATACATACACGCACCAGAAAGACATTTCTTCGGCAGGAATCCCAATCAGGCTATGCAGCATATGAAATATATGTGTATGCCCACGCGTGAACCCTAAGCAGCCCTAAGTTATTCAAATCTCATCTTAGCAAAATCACTTCTATAGCTACGGTCAAAGAAAAAGGAATAACCTCTCTAAAAGTCTTGAAGTGAAACTCCAAGTTCAAGTGAAGTCTCAGTGAATACTTCAACTCCAAATACCCAAATTCTAAATTTAAAGTGTTCGGGACTCAATCACAAATACCAATTTAAATCAATAGAAGTCAAATAATAAAACAAGACCAAACTAAAAATAAGAACACTTAAACCTTGATAAATGCCAACCCACAAGGCTCACTTAAAACTCTGAAACTGCAATAGTGAACAGTGTAATAAAACCAAGTGTTATTGTTATTGAATAAATCTCACCAAACGAAACACTCTAAATCGTATCTTGATTGGTCAACTGCGTATAGTAGTTGATTCGTGGAACCTACCTAAGGAGATAGTTTCCCTCAACACCTGGAGTTACCGACCAAAGGGTCAATTTAACTATTTCTTAAATTAATCCAACAGACAATTGAGTGTAAACCATTTGGGACGTAACAATACTACTGGTCACGGATGAATCACCTGAACAGCGGAAAATTCCACATCAGATTTCCGTCGCAAGAGAATCAATCAAACAGAAACACAAAATGTTCAAAATTGAGTAAAGAGCCTGCTGATAATGGTGTGAATGATATTAAATTCTCTTAAATTCATCCAACAGACAATTGAGTGTAAACCATTTGG